CTATAAGCTCAGCCAGAAGTGTACATTTAGACTTTTGGTATTATTAGTTTAGCTTTCTATCTCCCTAACTACAAAAAGCAATGCAATCAGGTTGTGCTAAGTGGGTCGGCATGGGGTCCATCTTCATTCTCTTCTCTCGATATTAATTTGACCTCAGTGGAGGTATTGTTGAAGCTCAAGCTTTCTTTTGATTTCACTTCAGATCTTTTTTTTTTTTAAGGCAGGGAGGGTCAGGGCGAGAGAAAGAGAGAGAGAATCTCAAGCAGAGTCCACATGGGGCTCCATCTCACAACCCTGGGATCATGACCTGAGCCCAATCAACAGTCGGATGCTTAACCAACTGAACCACCCAGATGCCCCTCAAATCTTCCTTAATAACTTGAACTGTGATGTATGTTTTTCAATTTTATTTCCAGTGTTTTATACTCGTGAGCTTAGAGGGGGCCCTGAGTGGTCATCTAATCTGTGTCCCTTTGCCAGACAGCGGTAGTCTGTTCTTGATAGGAAAACAGTTTTGTGAGCAAGATCTGTTTCTTTGGCATCTAGAGGAAACTAGAATTCAGTTAATCCTTGATAGCCATCATTCACTTGGAAGATACAAATGGAAATACAAATGATATTTTATGATTCAGATCATGCATAGTATTTAGAAAGATTTTAATATTCCAGAAGAGTCCATTTTCTGTTGACAAATGTTCCCTGAGAAACCTCTAGATATAAAGACAGGTCTAAAGTGCTGAAGCCAGTTCAAAGATGGAATAGATTTTGCCTTGGAGAGTCTTTGGGTGGGGCGGGTCATGGACAAAGAATTATAATCCAAGGCCAAGTGTGACACTTGCTGCAGGGGTCTCCATCAGAGGTGGGGAGGTAGTTCTTGAAAACATCCATAATAGCCACTGAATCTTATGGCTTCTTGTTCCCTGTGGACTCCTCAGTGTACATTGTCACGTTTAGTCTATTCTGAACCAGAGCCAGAGGGTGGCAGAGGTTATTGTCACTGCAATGGGAAGGTCGGCAATTATTGTCTTTGTATTAACTTCCCTCATCTTTTGCCACAAGGCACATGTTTCTCAGATGGACGAAGTACTGAAAACAACAAGATGGGTCACACTTTAAGGAAAAGATTTCCGTAGTTCAGTTGAGCTCAGGAAATATTTTCATTTCTCAATCTGATATTTTTCTGTTTTCAAATCCTGATAGGCCCCGCCTATATATTTCCCAATTATCCAGATAACCTAGATGAAGACCCATATTGACACTCAGATTACAGAGGGGAACATTCAAGAACTGAGATAAGATGCAGAATGTGTGCATGCAGAGTGCTCTTCCCATGCTTTCCAGTCCCTGGTACCAAGGCCTCATGCGTGGATCCTGTCCTCTTTCCTTGTGAACTTTGTGATAGCTTCATGCAGTGGATATTAGTGTGGGCCATGCTCAGGAGGAAGAGAGAGCTGAGTGTGTCAAGGAAAACAAGGAACCACATTGCATGCATGTGCCACATCGTGGATACAACAGCAGCACGTTTCTTTCATTTAAGCATCAGGGATGACTTGTCACACAGATTCACCTAAGACACAACATCCCTTTAGGCTTGTGGCTCAGGATCCTCATAAACACGTGTATTGTTGATGCTCATCGGGTATGCCCCAAAGAGTGTATTCATTTGCCAGGGCTGCCATAACGAAGTACCATAGACTGGGTGGATTAACCAACGGGAACTTATTTTCTCACAATTCTGGAGGCTGCCAAGTCCAAGATTAGGTCCAAGTTCCTTGGCTTAAAGTCCAAGATGAAAGTGGCAACAGGTTTGGTTTGCAGCCTTTCTCTTTGGCTTGCAGATGACTGACCGCCGTCTTGCTCTGTCTTCACCTGGTCTTCCCTCTCTATACGTCTGTGTCCTAATTTTCTCTTTTTATACGAAGACCAGTCCTATTTGTTTAGGACCCAACTTAAGGACCTTTAACTTAATTACCTCTTTAAAGATCCTATCTCCAAATACAGTCACATTCTGAGGTACTGGGAGTTAAGACTTGAACATCTGAATTTTGGGGAGATGCAATTCAGTCCATAATAAAAGGGTAACAAAACATAGAGAAGTCTTATGCTTTATCTTTCATTTATGTGGTTTGCTAGTGACCTATGTTTAATATAATATAGTCTTTGCTTTTTTTTTGACAGTAGCCATAACTGATTTATACTTACCTTCTTTTCTTTTTTTTTCAAGTATTTAATCAGTTTATTTTAAAAAAATTTTTATTGAAGTTCAATTTGCCAACATATAGCATAACATCCAGTGCTCATCCCACCAATTGCCCTCCTCATTGCCCATTACCCAGTCACCCCAACCCCCCGCCCACTTCCCCTTCCACTACCCCTTGTTCATTTCCCAGAGTTAGGTGTCTCTCATGTTTTGTCACTTTCACTGATATTTTCACTCATTTTCTCTCCTTTCCCTTTATTCCCTTTCACTAATTTTTATATTCCCCAAATGAATGAGACCATATAATGTCTGTCCTTCTCCGATTGACTTACTTCACTCAGCATAATACCCTCCAGTTCCATCCACGTTGAAGCAAATGGTGGGTATTTGTCGTTTCTAATGGCTGAGTAATATTCCATTGTATACATAGACCACAGCTTCTTTATCCATTCATCTGTCGATGGACACCGAGGCTCCTTCCACAGTTTGGCTACTGTGGACATTGCTGCTAGAAACATCGGGGTGCAGGTGTCCCGGCGTTTCATTGCATCTGAATCTTTGGGGTAAATCCCCAGCAGTGCAATTGCTGGGTCGTAGGGCAGGTCTATTTTTAACTCTTTGAGGAACCTCCACACAGTTTTCCAGAGTGGCTGCACCAGTTCACATTCCCACCAACAGTGCAGGAGGGTTCCCCTTTCTCCACATCCTCTCCAACATTTGTCTTACCGTCTTTTCTATATCAAATTGTCACCTAACAAAGGAATCGTGTCTCACTGTCCCTCATAGGACCCAGCACAATGTTTAGCAAATAAACATTCAGTAACTGTCACTGTTTCACCCTGTTGCCTGGGTCCTTCTTTCACAAATTGATGTCAATACTGAGTAACAACAACTAAGCCAATACTGACAGCCTCCATCTTCCACCTACACTGCCTGAAAACACACTCACATTTCTACTGAGTGGGATGGAGAGATCAGGAGCCTAGGAAGTGTTACATTTTTGATGTTAGGAAGGCCAGGCATCCCAGAATTCTACCTGTCAACCTTGTCTTGTGGAAAACCTGCCTCAGGGAGTCCTCAGTGAGGAAAAGTTGGGTAAGATAGATGGATGGGACTCTCCCCTGCTGAGAATAGCTATGTAATAGGAAGTGGTTCTAAATGTGAAGCCTGGCAGGAGAAGTGTGAGTCAGAGATTGGAGACCATCCTAGAAGCTGAGAATAATTAAGGGGTTCTGGGTAGCCAGAGGACACTAGAGACTCAGCACTTTTGGATGTGGAAAAGGAAACAGAAAGAGAGATGTGTGTGTATCAACTTAGAGTTTGAGGATGCTCATCTCAGACCCCCTCCGCAAACTCTATTTTCTGAGTCCCAAGGGGGAAAGAAGATTATCCTTGCAGGGGCTCCCTTTGGGGGTCTTAATTGACATGGCTACTCAACTCATGTTTCCTTTGGTGATTTTATTGCATTTGGTCACTTAAATCTATGGAAGCATCTATGTTTGTCAGAGTGACAAGGAAGTACCCTATGTGGACTTGTGTTGGAGCAAGAATATCCTTCTCCTGGGAGACAGATCCCAGGGGTTTCACTTCCATCAGGCTCAGCTTCCACCAGACTTATCTGGGAGCCCCTGTTTCCCTTCTCTCTCAGCTCACTGCTAAACCAACTATGATGGATCAAGAATCTGGAAGTTACACAGAAAAAGACCAGGGAGCACTAGGGAAATTAACAGAAGAGGTGTTCAGGGACACATTTTATCCTGTGTGTGGAGTGAACTCCTTTGGACAATGCTGAGGGAGTGGTATGAAAGTTGCCCAGGAAAAAAAAAAGGTTGCCCAGTTTGATTATTTTAAATCTAATGCTCATTTTCTGACATCTGAAAGCCTATTATGTAGTTTGTAGTGGCTGACAGACAGACTTCCATGGTGTCTACCATGACTCCAGTAACACTTCTGGAAGAGCTGCAGAGGAGAGTATGGATGCTTCGTGAAGTGAGGGTTGAATGGAAAACACTCACGGACTACAGAGCTAATGGGAAAAGAGATGTGAGAGACCAGGGCTTCCATTGCCTTTTGGAGTAATTCTCAGAATGAGGCCATGACAGTCAAGCTCAACATGCAGTAGAAAAAGACCCTAGGAGTAGACAAAAAAGTGACCATCATAAATGATAAGCCTCAAAAGTGACCATGACCTTAAGTGGTCAAGTGCCTATGCAGGATCTGTATGAATATTTGCACACTCAGATTTCTGTTGCTAAGAGTCCATCAGGGAGAGATTTGGGAAGAGTTTAGTTTATGACATTTAGCTGCTAGGATTGAGGATGTGCCCCTGAATTCTTTGCTTCTTGATAGACCCACAGTGGATTAACCACTTGCTAATCCATCTATATCTATCGTAAACAATGTATCTAGCTTTCAATTCATTGCTGTCATCACATATATACTATCTGCTTCATCTGTTGAGATTGAAATGTATTGTTCCCCAGGGATAGACAGTTTAGAGACTGGCAAGAAAAAAAGAAATGGGTCTTAAAACTTCTGCTTTATGAAAGGGAAATCCGTTTCTCAAGCTGCTTTGAAGTGTGGCAGAACGCATACAGGACACTGTGTAATTTATGATAATGCTAAGTGAAATGTCTTACCAACTTCTGTAGAAAGTGACTGCAATGGAAAAATCTCCATTTAGTTCTAAACTAGGTAAAATGGTTTCAACAGTACCACCAGGGGCACTGATGAGGCCTATAAATTAGAAACTAATAAAAGAATTGCACAACTTAAAAAAAAAAAGAAATGGGTCTTTGAGGCTGATTTAGCATAATTTATTATGCTTTGCATTTACAGAGATGACAATACAGTCGTAACAATGGGACATAAATAAACACAAAGTTAAAGGCATTTCAGGAAGGTAAGAAGACATTAGCTGCCTCGATACACTTTTATCAAGGACAAGGTTTGAATGGTAATTGACAGAGGAGACTGAACATTTATTACTTTGGTTGGTATTTATTCAATGCAGGCAGGATGATGGAAACCACAGAAATGTGAGATTGCTATGGGTTGGTGACAAGGCTCAGGTCATGCTTGAGACTTTAAAGTCAGAAAGGAACAGATAGAAAGGAAGGAGGAAGTATTCACCTACAGCATGGTTACCTGCAGCACCTCCCCAGAGGCCAAGCACTTGCTTAGGAGCAGCACTGCTTCTTGCAGCAGCACTTCTGCTGGCAGCAGCCCTTCCCGCAGCCGCACCCACACGAGCTGCACCCACACGAGCTGCACCCACAGGAGCGGTGGCAGCAGCAGACCACGGGGACACTGCAGCAGCCCCCACAGCAGCCGCAGCAGCAGGGGCAGCAGGACGAGCAGCAGCCCACCCGGTAGCACCTGCAGGTGGTACAGCTGCCCCCGCAGCCACCGCAGCCCCCGCAGCCCCCGCAGCCTCCGCAGCCACCGCAGCCTCCGCAGCCACCGCAGCCACTGCTGCAGCCACCGCAGCCTCCACAGCCACAGCACCCCATGGTGTCAGTAGAGAGGACTCAGGAAGGAGTAGAGAGAAGGGAGACTCAGGGAGTGAGAGAGGTCTGATGCCACCTTCTGCTGGGGGCCCCTTATATACCAGCTCTGGGGGTAGCAGCAGGAAGACACATGACCACTTCCTTGTTGCTATTCGGCTCTATTTATGGGGGAGAATCACATCGTCTCTTATTTGCCTCCCTTTTAGATATCTTTGTCTTCATCACATGTTTATTTTTTGAATAAAGCCTATATTCTAGTTTAACTTTGAAAAAACTGAAAATTCTAGGGAATCATTCTGGGAACCGGGAGCATGGTGAGGCTTTGGACAGGAATGGGCAGACAATCCATCTTTCCAGGATGCCTGTGTCTGTGGGGCTTGCAGACTATACCCTGAGCCAGGTGATCTGTGAGCTTTCAGGGAGTTGGCACAGTGAAGGCTGAGGTATAGTCCCTGACCTCAAAGAGATGCAAAAGGAAGTAACACTGGGAGCTGGGGATGTGAAATTGGCAACAGGTTCAAAGGTCACCTTGAAGGCCAGATGCCATCATTGCAATTGTTGACCAAGCTGGAAAGTTCTACTCCCTACCTCTTCATGTGAAGCATACCATTGTTCTTTCCCACCTCCAGGTCGTAATGACTATTTTAAAAACAGAAATAAATCCTCATAAGAGTCTTCGTTTTCATGATGTAATTCTTGCTATATTTTGCTTTGGATGAGGAATTAATTTTGTCTTTGAGTAAATAATACTGGTTGATGTCTGAGAGATACCCTCTTGCTAAGTAGCCTGACCTAGGCAATCTTGAGAGCAGGGTGGGATTCTCGAGGAGTGCAGGTGCTGAGGCCAGAGATGCAAGGAGAGGCCCCACGTCAGGAGAAAACCAGTGTGAAATGTGGTGAGGTGTGCAGCTGTGGTCCTGGTGGGATTTGAGGGCTAGTGACCGACCAACAAGGAGGCTATGTAAACATAAGACAAGCAAAACAAGAGCACAGGTGGGCTCTTCATCACGTGGAGCTGTGGGAGGAGCACTCTGGCCTCTCAGGGAGCTCTGATCTTCCTGGAGATCATTGGTGGCCAACAGATTCCCAGAACTACAACTTGTAACTTGCTTGCTGCCCAGAGCCTATTTTCCCAATCTGGCGAGGTTGTTCTTCAGGAATCTGAGTGAGGGGAAATGCTCTAAGGTCCCTGAAGGCATGTTGGCATTGTTATTCATGATCCCAAACTATTTTTGTGGTGTTTGGACCAAAGCATACGTTTCAACCAGCCGGGGGTGCTTGGACTGGGGTTGGGGGTGCAGTGGAGCGAGAGATAGAGAATAGGTTTGAGAGGTTTCAAAGAGGCACAGTCAACAGAATTCAGTGGACATCAGCTATGCGGCTGAGAGAAACAGGATTCAAAGCTGACATCTTAATGGGTTGTCAACTGGATGGAGAAGGCACAGTGGAGGAATGTGGGGTTGGTGATTGGGCTGGAGAGATTATGCGCTGAGCCTGGAACATGGAGGACATGGCAGGTGCCTTGGGACGGCTGTGGGAAGAGGATGGAGGGTGAGTTGGCTGTCTTGGATTTGGAGTGTAGAGGAGGGTCTAAACTGGAGGAAGGGGGATCCCTGGGTGGCGCAGCGGTTTGGCGCCTGCCTTTGGCCCAGGGCGCCATCCTGGAGACCCGGGATCCAGTCCCACGTTGGGCTCCCGGTGCATGGAGCCTGCTTCTCCCTCTGCCTGTCTCTCTCTCTCTCTCTCTCTCTCTCTATCATAAATAAATTTTAAAAAAATTAAAAAAATAAAATAAATAAACTGGAGGAAGGAATCCAGGAAACGCAGATGAGGACTGAGGCCCTGGGTGCGGATGTGAGCTACGAAGGGAGAGGGAGTGGCGGGCGAGAGCGGAGAATCAGGTCAAGATTTTCAACAGACAACTTTCAGGGTTGAGGAAAAGAGGGTCATTTGGTTTAAAAATAGTCCACATCTCTTTGGAAGTACAGCTGTGAACATGCAACCTCGCAAGAACGAAAATGGCCCATTTAAGAGGTGGAAGCTACGCGACAGTAATAGATGCGAAAACAATTGGAAAGAAATGGTTTGTTCAATTCGATTATTCATATGGACTCTACCTCTCAGAAGTTTCTGTTAGAAGCAAGGTGCTTGGGGATCCCTGGGTGGCGCAGTGGTTTGGCGCCTGCCTTTGGCCCAGGGCGCGATCCTGGAGACCCGGGATCGAATCCCACGTCGGGCTCCCTGCATGGAGCCTGCTTCTCCCTCTGCCTGTGTCTCTGCCTCTCTCTCTCTCTCTCTGTGACTATCATAAATAAATAAAGAAAAAAATATTAAAAAAAAAAGAAGCAAGGTGCTTTCAGCTGAATCTATGGACAGAAACCCATCGAGGAGAAGCAGAAAAGTTGCCGGCGGTCATCGAGTGCTTTCTTAGCTCTGACTCTCAAAGGTCATCTACGCTTCTGGGGGAAATGAAGACCCCTCCAAAATGTTAGCATCTCTTGGTTTGCCTCCAAAATGACTTTAAGAAGGGAAGCTAAAATTAGCAAATGTATTGGGTTAAATATCACCCATGAGACTGTAAACAAGGAATAGCCCTGGCTGAGCTAATTGTGGAAAGTGCACTGTGGCAGCAATGAGGAAGAGCTCAGGTCATGTGTCCTGGGTCCCTCGCTCCATCACCATCCTCCTCATGATGGTATATAAGGGGTCCCCCAGTGGAAGGCGGCATCAGACCCCCCCTCGACCTCTCCTGATCGCCCTCCTCACCTGTCCTGAGTCCTCTCTACTGACACCATGGGGTGCTGTGGCTGTGGAGGCTGCGGTGGCTGCAGCAGCGGCTGCGGAGGCTGCGGAGGCTGCGGTGGCTGCGGAGGCTGTGGTAGCTGCGGAGGCTGCGGAGGCTGCGGTGGCTGTGGCAGCTGTACCACCTGCAGGTGCTACCGTGTCAACTGCTGCCCCTGCTGTTCTGGCTGCTGTGGCTGCTGCTGCAGTGTCCCCGTGGTCTGCTGCTGCCACCGCTCCTGTGGGTGCAGCTCGTGTGGGTGCAGCTCGTGTGGGTGCGGCTGCGGGAAGGGCTGCTGCCAGCAGAAGTGCTGCCAGCAGACGTGCTGCTGCAAGAAGCAGTGCTGCTCCTAGGCGGCCGGTGTGCAGGTGTGCTGATGCCCATTCAGGTGGTAAGACTTCCTCCTTCCCATTGCTCTTCCTCCACCTGATGGTCCGGAAAACACCCTTTTCCTGTCTTTATCTCCTGCCCAAAGTCCTTCCATCAGGAGACTCCCTGAACTAATAGAAACCATCTAATGGAAAAAATACTTATGCAGCCGAGCACCAGGGTAATTGTGCCAATTGCTGATGAAATCATGATTCTGAATACTTTGATGGAAATATCCCCTGCCTTTCTTTCACTTCTGCCTTTTCCCACCTTTCCTTGTCATCATGCATAGTTTTTCCCCCTTTTCCTTCCTCGTCATTACATAATACTGCCTAGATTTCCTAATAAAATAAAAACTACAAGTCTATGAAAAGTGTTCTTTTTGTCTTTGTTGTGTTTGGGTGCGTGGAATCCTGGTTTGTTCTGAAACTTGAGAGTGAATTTTTCTTTGTACGAAGTTTTTAAAAAAATCCTTGCAGCAGCAGCAGGTTCAAGGTGGTATAATAGGCCTGGCCAGGACTCTGGGGATCACCGTCCCCACATACAGTGAAATGTCACTCTCCTCCCAGCCCCCTCCCCCCTTTCAGCCCAGTGTGCCCACCCCCGGGAGGTACAGTCCCTGTGTATTGATGAAAGGACAGGGCTCTTCAGCGGCAGCCCCTCAAGCTCTCCACGGACATTCCCATCGGGACCCAAAATACAAAATTTAATGGTGGGTCTGAGACCCTTTAGGCTTTCCATGGGGTCTCCTTTGCTGACATATTCATTCTCTTTCTTCTCCTCTTTCTGTTTTTTGGTGTATGCAGTTTTCTTCTTACAACTGTTTCAGTACAGCGTGACGTTCAATAACAGGCATTTGAAATGTTTCTACATAAAATGCATTAGGTTGCCATAAATTTTGCCAGTGCCTCTGTCTTCTCAACTACCTTCAGCAGAAGTAATAAATACGAAGAAGCCCAGGGGAAAGGGAGTTTTCAATGCTTATTTAAGGGAGGATGTCGCTTCTTCCACTGCTTCAATTTTGTTCACAAAAGGGATAATCTCTTCTTTTCTTCTTCCTTCCCTATTCCTTCTTTTCCAGTTTCTTTTTTTTCTTTCCCTTCCTCTCCCCTCCTTGTCCTTTCTTTTCCTTTTTTCTTTTTCTAATTATTTTCTACAGCTTTCTCCCACTGTGGAGATTCTGCTGTTTTATTAGCGGTAGAGACCTTAGGCCGAGGAGATTTGGGATCACGATGGTTCAGTATTTTTACACATGGATGCATTTGTGCAAAAAGTGGAGGGAGGAAGGTATGGCACATAACATGTTCCAATAAAATAAATTAACCACATAGCTGGGCTCAAAAACAAGATAAATATCTCTGTGGACCAAAACACAGAACAGAAATGCAGAACGCAAGGCAGTAGCAGTGGCCTTGCTGGGGTCTGGGTCCAGAAGTGGGCTATAGGCATGTGGAGAGTGGGAATATGATCCCGGAGATCAGAGATTCCATGCAGAGAGGGGATGATATAGCCAGGCTTGCTTTTGAGATTTGGTATCAAGGTGAGGCCTCCTTTGTCTTGAAAAATTCTATGACTCTCTCTTGCCTGGAGCTCTGGCCTATAGATTGGAGCCTACCAGAGACATATGCACATAGTCTCAAGATCACAAATTGACTTAAACCATCTATAGGCATGAGAATGATCTATGACATCTAATTACACTATGGGCTGGGGCATGAGTGTGGGGCAGGAATACATAACTGCAAAACTTCTAGACAGGTAGAAGCCAAGGTGAGGGCTGAGGTAAGAAGAGGGAGTGAGAGAAATGAATATGAAAATAAAACACCTCTCACTTAAAGCAAGTTAGCAAAGTTTCAAAAACTCTTTGTAGTAGGAAGCCTCTAACATGGCTCCCCAAATCCCTGCCTTCTGGTGCTCACGCTCTGGTGAAATCACCTTCTCTGGAGTATGCGCTAGATCTAGTGACTAATGAAGAGAATACCACAAAGGTGACAGGATGCCACATTCTTGATTAGGTTACAAAAATCTGTGACTTCCATTTTCAAGCCAGTTTTTGTTTTCTTGGCTTGTGCACTTTGATGAAGCAAGCTGACACGTTGGAGGGGCCCACATGGCCAGGAACTGAGAGCAGTCTCCAATCAACAGCTAGCAAGGACTTGAAGCCTTCTGCTCAGTAGCCATGAGGAACTGAATCCTTCCAACAATTACATGAAATTGGGAATGCATCATGCCCCAGTCAATGCCCTGCCTCCTTGAGATGGTAACAGTCCAGTCAACACCTTGAATGCCTGTAAGAGCTAAGGTGTGTCCAGATTTCTGACTCAGAAACTGTGGGATAATAAATGTGTGGCGTTTTAAGGAACAAGGGTTGGGGTAATTTGTTATACAACACTAAATAACTAACACATATTTGAAAACATCGAATGTTACGAAAGGGCAGCAAAATAAACTTGGAACATAAATTCACTTCAGATGAAATTGACTTTATAGAACTAACTGTATCTTTCAAGTAATATTTTTTGCATCCTTAAAACAACAAATAAGAGAATGACTTCCATTAAAAAAAAGAAGGATTTATAGTGAAACTGCAGGTAAAAACAAAATAAGAATAGGTTGATATAAAAATCCTGGGAATAAAAAAATATATAAATTGAAATAAAAACTCAAGCAACAAAATAAAACACCATCAAAGAGAGAATATGTGAATTGCAAGATAGATATCAGGTGTTCACTTAGCACACAACAGAGAGAGACAGAGTCCCAGAATAGAAGCTGAAGTAGTTTGTCTTAACATGATATCTAATCTGAAAAATTTCTTTTTGAAGATTTCCCAATGGGGCTGCCTCATATGCCCAAGGATTTCTTTCTACTACCATCAAAGTTATTATTCACTTTGGACTTAAATTCCAGATATCTCTAGATGGATTAAACTTCAGGCAACCTTTACTCTACAGAAAACACTGGACTCCAAATTACCATGAAACAATGGTAGCGTGTTCCACTACGACTGTTCCTGAATATCGAGTTGCTTCAATTAATTAGAACGTGTTTGCTCATACAGATCAAGTAAGAGTTTAGTAAACAGTTCATTTATTTCTTTTCTAGGGATACCAAGTAGCCAACACCACATGTCTCTGTGAGTTAGACTATTCTGACGGCTGCTTTAGCTCCATTGTCCATTATGGTAACCATATCCATCTTGTCTTTAGCAACTAAGTGCCTCCTGGTGGCCCATGCCACACTAGGATCCCAAGATCTCCATTGTGTTTAAGTATCTCAGTTCATTGGTAACTATTCGCACTTAAATTATTGACCTACAGAGCAAAGCAACCACAGCGTTCTTCTAGAACGCTGGGCTGCTCTCACAAATGTATTCTCACAGTTATGTTAAAAGATGCATCTTCTGGATCCTCTCAAGCTGAGTGAACAAATCCACATGATGAATCTACTCTAACATTGTAATTTCCCTTTTTTTTTAAAATTTTTTTTCTTTTTTTTTTTTTTTTAATTTCCCTTTTTGAATACTTTCCTCTGTAGCATACCAAGGCAGTTCTGGCATTTCAAGTTATTTAGTGTAGACCAACTGTGGCCTGGTGTTTCAGCTAACCAACCAAACTGGCAGCCCATATCAACAAATTTTGCTTGATCCAACTTTATGTTCCTTCTATCATGATCCCAACAATCTTAAGATCCACTCCCACACATATTATCTAGATTTCTGTCTATAAAAACTGGGAGAATCATGTAGCTCATTTGGAGTTTAATGCATCTCCACACATTTTGTAGTTTATCTTTTGGTCTAGTTCTAGGTTTAGAAGCAAAGATGGGTGGTAGGAGTGGGTCTGATGAGACTGAGCAATGCCTTGCTACCTCAGTGGATGCCATTACAGGACTTACATATTAGGCTAGGGTGGAAGGGCTGCTTCTAATGGCAAAGACTTGGCAGATCTAGGGCTTAGATGTTCCCAGCTTTATTGAAATCGGACCATATGTCTCCTCCATTCCAGTTTTCAGGATTCCATTCATTTCCAGTGAATGTCCTTACTTTATCAGAAGACACCTCGCAAGGTTAGGAGTTCATTTTGCTTTGTAAATCAGCCAATCGAAGAGTGAGACATTGGGTTTGGTTATCAGAAATCTCAGCTCTGTGGCTGTAGGAGATAAGGGTTTATTTCAGGGAAGATATTAGAGCTTTCAGGTCATGAATGCAGCGCTTGAGCTGGGAATTTGAAATCCTGAGCTCATTCTCTTTTCTCCCTTATTGTCTTCAGTTCTGTCAGGAGCAACCAGCCAATTCCATTATTCTCTTTAGTTTAACTAAAATAGTCTAAGTTGACAAATACACAGCAATTTTGAACCTTACTTTCTATAGGTATTTGTCCTAGGTTGAATATTATATCTCCCCACTCCCTAAATTAATATTAATCTAGAACTTATAAATATGACTTTATTAGGGTTGACCCTAAATCCAATATGATTGATCTCCTTATGCTAAGAGGGGGACTTTGGACATAGAGACACAGACACATAAGGAGAATATCATGTGACAACAAAGGAACAGATTGGAGTGATGTGTCTACAAGCCAAATGGTAAGAATTGCCAGCAACTGCTAAAAGCTAGGAAGAGGCAAGGAAGGATCTTCTCTAGACCAAGTATTCAGAGAGAAAGTATGGCCCTAACAACACCTTGATCTCTAGCCTCCAGAACTGTGAAAAAAGAAGTTGTTTAAAGTGACTCAGTTTGTGGTAATTTGTTATAAGAACATTAAGAAACTAATATAGTATTTGATTAAGAGTGTCCAATCGTGATACTTGTGTGTCTAAAACCACATCATGCCATGATTACTAGTGCCTTCTTTATGACTGGAAACAGATTCATAGTGGCTTTAAATCTAACTAGATCAGATAACCAGTTCCAGAAACTTCAGAAAAGTTTCATTGCTCTTATAAATCTGTCCTCTACAACCACTAACTTGGTACTGAAATCTGTATCAATCAAGATTCAACCTGAGAAACAGAACCAGTGGAGAGATATATTTAAAAAAACAAAAACACTTCAAGGAGTTGGCTTACTTGATTGTGGGGACTGGGGTGGCCAAATGCAAAATTCATAGGGCAGGCTATCAGAATGGGTAGACTAGAACCATTAGGCATGTCCTCATCCAGATTATCTCGGGTAGTCTCTCTCTCTCTCCCTGTCTTTTTTTTTTTTTTTAAATTCATGAGAGACACACACACACAGAGAGGCAGAGACATAGGCAGAGGGAGAAGCAGGCTCCATGCAGGGAGCCTGATGTGGGACTCGATCCCGGGACTCTGGAATCACGCCCTGAGCCAAAGGCAGATGCTCAACCGCCGAGGCACGCAGGCATCCCAAGGGTAATCTCCCTTAAAGTCAACCGTGAACTTTGATCATATCTGCAAAATACATCACAGCAATACCTCGATTAGTACTTGTTTGAATAAATAAGGGACTTGGCTTAGTCACATTGACACAGAAGACTCACAAATTGCAACAAACTTATAAACTAGTTTGAAAAGAATTGAAATCTTGACATTATCCAGTCTTTTCGTGTAGGATCATGGAAAAGTTTAATAAATTTTTTTTCCTTAATTTTTTGGCCCATTTTGTAGGAATTAAAAGATTTCCCCCATTCTAACTTTTTTTTTTTTGGTAGTATACGAGTTTAATAATAATGGTCATCACATGTTGATCATTTACTATGTATGCATCAGGCCTGCACTAGAAATTTCTTTATCTACTCCCCAAGTCAAAACAAATCACACTTTTATGAGGTTGGGGACAGACAGCCAATATATATATCATTCACTCTATGATATTTCATGTTTTTGTTCTTGGATGGTCCCATTTGTTGATTTCCATGTCGTTTTGCAGTGGACTTGAAAGTGTTAAAACAGTATTTAGGATCCCAGTTGCTCACTGAGGCCATAAAGATGGCTGGTCTCAACTTGTTGACTTCGGTTTTTGGTTGTTCTCAGTTTACCAGCCCGTAGCTGAGGTTTTGATGTGGTGTCGATGATAATCCTTCTCTTTTATGGTATCTTAATCTAGGACAAACAATTAAAATGCTGTGAAGTGTAGCACCATATATTTTTAGAATCATCCATCCTTTGAGTCCATGGTAAGTAGGAGAGATCAGGCTAAAACTGTGTTGTTACTGTGTTTGCATTAGAAATTGAGTCTTCTCGTTCGCTTGGATTCTGACCAGTAGTAGACCTACAGTGTTCCTTTCTGCATTTGGCTGAACAGATTATGTAAATGCTTCTCATTAGGAAAATTCCAGCAATAACAGAAAAATAACTCCCATAAATTAAAAACTGAAAAAGAAAAAGAAAAAGAAAAAGAAATCAATGAATGACATTAAAATGGACATTTAACAATAAAGGTCGGTAGGGACGCTTTACTGCTAGCTGGGAGATCTTAAAGAGGTCACGGATTCTCTTTCAGCCTCATTTTCTCAATTGTAAAATGAGGATAATAACAATATTTACACATTTGTTGTGAGGATTAAATGTGTTATTACACATAAGGTATATAGAACAGTACCTACATAGTAGAATTCAATCAATGTTAACTGTGTTTGTAGTTTTGAAACTCTCCATTAATATAGACTATATATAGACTTCCTTCTTGCTTTCCTTCTTTTTTCATATTCGCATTTAGTATATGAAATTGAGAGTTTTTTTTCTTAGAATCTGACATGCTTGATGGAATTTCTATCCAAAAATAACAGTAATAAAAAGAAAGAATACAGTATTTCTATCCAAAATATTGAAATGATATTAATACTGGAAATTAGAACTCATATATGTTCTTAATGAGTAAGTTGAACATTCAACCATTTTTAATGATTTTCCTTAGACATACATATCAAGAGGTCTTGATAATGCTTTATCTTTAAAAAATTTGTAGTAACTTTTAAATTTTTCATTTGCTTGGTATGAATTTTCCCTCCCCCCTCCAAACTTCACATGTCTTTATAATTTTAAATGTGTCTTCTGTAAATAGACTATGGTTGCAACCCTTTAAGAATCTAGCCTGAAAATACTTTTTTGTTATTTTTATCTTTGTCCTGGTTTATTTAGCTTTGAATTGCTTAATTTTTATTTTTGGAAAATTATAAACATTCACAAAAGTGGATAGGACAGTATCCAAACGCCCACTAATCCCATGACCTGGTTTCATCAATCACCAGCAGCAGCCACTCTTGGTTCCCTAAGGCCCCAATCGCTTTCCCTTCCCCCTCACAGATTAATTTGAATCCAGTATCACAGGATTGTAATAAAAATTTCAGTTTGTATCTTAAAAAAAGAAGGATGTGCAAAAGCGTAACCACAAATCATGAAGACACCTAAAAAATTAACAATTGCTTAGTATCGTCTAGTCAGTACTCAAGTTTCTCTGCTTGTCTCTTAATATTTTTAGCTTCTAGGTATGAATCAGGATTCAAATAAGATCCACACATTGTGATTGATTGCTGAATTTCTCAGGACACTATCGATCTTTTAAAAAATGATCTTTGTTGAAAAACTGTAATTTCCCAGATGCAGGTGTTTTTTGGTGGTAATCCTGGATGTCATGTAATGAGTTCTGCTTCCCCTATTTCCTGTAAATTGGCAGTTCAACCTATGAGCTAATTTGTTATTTTAGTGACAACTCACATATTTGTATTTTTTGCCACCATACTTTCCTTATTTTTTATGTTCCTTAATTTTCTCCTCCTTTCTTGAGCTCCTTCATGTAACTATTTTTCCATATACCATGTTTTATTCCTCTCTTCTGCATAAAAATTGCATAATCTAGTTCTAATTTTTTTCATGGTTCCACTTGAAATATTGACTCTTAAACAAGCAAAGCATTGGTGTATAAAGGTGATGGTGGTGGGAATTGTCTGCCTTGGACACAGGCAGTAAGTAGAGAGACCTATATGTAGAGAGTTTTAAGACTATAATAAAACTGATTAAAAGCCTGTGGCATCTCATTATTGTTATGCTGCAGCAATTTAAACAATGCTGTGATGAAATCCGCCTCCCTGCCAGGTGGACTGCCACCCTCCTTGGTGTGCCACCTTAGGAGTCTAATCAATAATCAGCAGCATGAAGATCCTTAGTTTTGAACATCTTCTATTGATATATACTATTGTTGCCTGGTACTTGAGGCATCTTTTTTTTTAAATTTTTATTTATTTATGATAGTCACAGAGAGAAAGAGAGAGGCAGAGACACAGGCAGAGGGAGAAGCAGGCTCCATGCACCGGGAGCCCGACGTGGGATTCGATCCTGGGTCTCCAGGATGGCGCCCTGAGCCAAAGGCAGGCGCCAAACCGCTGTGCCACCCAGGGATCCCTTGAGGCATCTTTTTAAAGACTCCTCAAGATATAGAATATAAGTGTTATTTTTATTTATTTATTTTTTAAAGATTCTATTCATTTATTCATGAGAGACATGGAGAGAGAGGCAGAGACACAGGTAGAAGGAGAAGCAGGCTCCTCTCAAGGAGCCCAATGTGGGACTCGATCCCTGGTCTCCAGATCATGACCTGAGCCAAAGGCAGACGCTCAACCACTGAGCCACCCAGGTGCCCCTATTTTTTATTTTTAAAGATTTTATTTATTGATTTTAGAGGTGGGGGAGGGGCAGAGGGAAGAAGGAGAGAGAGAATCTCAAGCAGACTCCCCCAACAGGGGACTTGATCCCAGGACCCGGAGGTGAAATCAAGAGTTGGATGCTTAACCGAATGAGCCACCCAGGCGCCCCTATTATTCTTTTATTTATTTATATTTTTTTCTGTTGTAGAAAAACATATAAGACCTTTATTAAATAAGTTTAGCTTTAAACACATGATTATTTGTATTTCAATAAATAGCAGATCTTTATTTTTATTATATCCTGTTTCAGGAGTTAAACAGCGTACCAGACTTCCTTTTAAAGTTTTCCTGAACTGATAAATTCTGCATGCATTGTGGCTGAACTAAGAATGGTTTTTCAATTTTCCACCAATTACCTCAGTGGTATTCTTGACTGGAAAAAACATACTATTACTATTTTAAATGATTAGTGTTTGTTCAGATTTACTCACACATTTACTTCTTTTTTTCACATTCCTTCTTTTGGGAATACCTTCCTTTTGGGATAATTTTCCTTCTTCCTCAAGTGCATCCTTTAGAAATGGCTTTTGTAAAGATTTTTGTTGATAATGCACTCATTCTATTTGTCTGAAAATGTTTTGGTCTCATTTTTAAAACGTAGCTTCTCTTTGTCTATAGCGCTAGGCTGGCCAGTATTCTCGGCAACACTTAAAGCCATTGCTCTGCTGGCTTCCACTGGGAGCTACCAACAAGTCAATTGTCTATTATCATTTCTCTGTAGCTGAAGTTCTGTTTCTCTATTTTTAAGATTTATTTTTCTTTGGTTTTCTGCATTTGCCGCAGTGTGTTTAGATATGAATTTCTTTTTTTTTCTTACAATTAAGAAAATTTTTATTGGAGTTCAATTTGCCAACATATAGCATAACATCCAGTGCTCATCCTGCCAAGTGCCCCCCTCAGTGCCCATCACGCAGTCACCCCAAACCCCCATCCACCTCCCCTTCCACTACCCCTTGTTCATTTCCCAGAGTTAGGTGTCTCCCTCACTGTTTTGTCACCTCACTGTTTTGTCACCCTCACTGATATTTTCACTCATTTTCTCTCCTTTCCCTTTATTCCCTTTCATTTTTTAATAATAAATTTATTTTTTATTGGTGTTCAATTTGCCAAGATACAGAATAACACCCAGTGCTCATCCCATCAAGTGTCCCCCTCAGTGCCCGTCACACATTCACCCCCACCCCCCGCCCTCCTCCCCCTCCACCACCCCTAGTTCGTTTCCCAGAGTTAGGAGTCTTCATGTTCTGTCTCTCTTTCTGATATTTCCCACACATTTCTTCTCCCTTCCCTTATATTCCCTTTCACTATTATTTATATTCCCCAAATGAATGAGAACATATAATGTTACTTACTTTTTTTTTTTGAGATTTTGGGGGCTTCTTTCTTAATTTTGAGAATACATGCTATTGATTACTTTTGGAAAATTCTCAGAGAATATTTATCAGCTTCTCTCTACTACCTTTATTATCTCCTCAAAGAACTCCAAATAGATATTTGTTTAATTTCCTCACTTTCATTTCCACATGTCTTAATTTTTCCACTTCTCTTTCTCTGTGCTGCATTCTTGGTGATTTCTTCACATTCAATAATTTTTCCTACATATTTAAGGTCCTAATTCTCATGAATTCTATTTTTCCCAAATATTCACAATCATTCAAGATATATCTTGTCCCATTCTTATGTTATTATTTTCCTTTGTGTACAAACATCTTACTTTATATTCTAATGCTGATAATTCCTCCATCTCCAATCCTTGCTGTTTGATTCTGTTATTTATTATTTCAGTTGGCTTGCTCATAGTACTTTATATCCATTCATGATTTTGGATGTTTTTAAAAATCGTAATCTTATATTTGGTGGAATTTTATATAAGGCTTTTTTTTTTTTTTGGTTTCTATATTGAGGAACAGTCTTCCAGAGACCATTTGTTTTGATACATACAGGTGCCTGGGGCCATTACCAACCAGAACCTCTTTTAACTACATACTCAGCTTTAGAAAAAAATATTTAGGGCACCTGAGTGGCTCAGTGGTTGAGCATCTGGCTTTGGCTCTGGTTTGATCCTGGGGTCCTGGGATCAAGTTCCGCATTGGGCTCCCAGTAGGGAGCCTGCTTCTCCCTCTGTCTGTGTCTCTGCCTCTCTCTGCATGTCTGTCATGAATAAATAAATCAAATCTTTAAAAAAATAGAAAAAAAATGTTTAGCCTATAGACATTGGAACCCAGAATTATGTAAGTGCTGCTTATGAAAGCAAATTTCCAGGGTAAATTCCCTGATACCATCCAGATTCATCTTCTTTGTTGGAGTTTCCCCCATAACTTCATGTTTTGTTCTGTTTTTCTGCTCACTAAGGATGTAGCCCTTGGGGTTGCCACTAAAACCAAAATTCGAGGTCACTGGGAGAATTAGCAGATGCTCGAGCACATGATAGATTTAGTGCTTCCTTGTCTATCTGGTTTCCTGTTCCTGCTTTGACCTCTGAGGAGTGTTCTTATTTCTTACCAATTCAGCCACTTATTAAAAAAATCTTAAATTTATATCCAGGAGTTTTAAGTGCTTTGTAGTGTTAAGGATTTTTCTCTGATACCTAGTTTATTTATGCTATAATGGAAATAAGCCTTTCTTATTTTAATATTGTTAAAAGTCTATAACGTTTAATGCAAATAAGTCTTCCTTAATTTAATATTTTTAAAAACCCTTGTTGACTTCAAACTTGGAGTTTCTTTTATATATTTTTTTATTAGAGTTCGATTTGCCAACATAGAGTATAACACCCAGTGTTCATCCTGTCAAGTGCTCCCCTCAGTGCAAAACTTGGGTTTGAATGTGGACACCTGCCCTTCTTCTCCTTCTTCAAATGTAATCCCTCAACCACATTCTTCTGAAGGTACTTGCCTCCGGACCATTTCCACTAGAATAGGCAAGTGAGAAAACAAGACAATATCTGAGGGTCAGGACCCAAACTCACTGAAAATCCTAATAAGTAGTTATTTTGTTTGATAATGAAAATCTGGCCCCCCGTTAAGCTATTCTTTAAGATTCCAAAATAGTTGATGAAATCGTAGGACCAAAATCCAACAGATCACACATCTCCCATGTTTGAGTTAATGAATGTGAACTGAAAACACTCATCTAAGCTATCTGGACTGGCAAATAGTCCACGCTTTAAACACACCTGAGAAATTTCAGATTTGATGTATGGGAGGCTGCCTGAAATCTGAACAAATCCCCATTTCATGCACTTAAAATAATAGCATCACTGTTCTACTTTTTGTGAAGTAATCTTTCTGTTTAGAGTGCCCCTTCTCTTATGAAGCCCTTTGGGGTTAAAACTAAAAATCCATTTTCATGATTCTAATTTTTATTTAATTTAAGGCAAACGAAAGTACCAGTTATCCTAGCTAGATAATCTAATGGAGTGTGTAATCAGGGGTCCATCTGGTCCCAAAGTGGCTGAGTGCAGTGGCTTCCTGCCAAGAGAGCTGGGGAGGATCATTTTGCATTTCTCAATGAGGACATGAAAGACAAAGCAGGGCAGCAGCTGTGGTTTTCATGACATCGAGGGGTCACCTTACACCAATGGCCTTTCTTTTTTCTTTTTCATGTGTCCTTGTTTGACTTGCTGGTGATGGCATTCAGGACAATCTACCCCCAAATATGACACTTTGGCATGGTGAATATTTTTTAACTAAAGGAATTTGAGACATGGCAGGTGCAGGAAGGACTTCCAGACCTTCCCTTGGAGCAAGTCATAAGACCCTAGTGTCTCTACCCGGAGGAAAGAACAACCTTATCTCCAAAGATAAAGGGACGCAGAGAGGAATCTGAATGAACAGACCATGTGAAGTTTCCCCAATTTACTATTCTTAGCTCATTTCCTTTTTGTTCTATCATATTTTTTTCCTACAACTTTCCACTCTTTATCAAATCTAGCATAAAAACACTCAGGTTTGACTATTTCTTCAGGTCTTCATTTCCTTATGAAGGTTCCTGTGCTACATAAAACTTGTATCAAATACATTTGTGTGCTATTGTTAATTTGTCTTTGTTACAGAGACTCAGCTCAGAGCCAAATAGGGTGAGAGGAAACAGTATTTTTCCTCCCTGACGGTATCAACAGTTGCTTTTCCTATCTTAAGCTTCAAGACCCTCCAGGGAGGAGGTGGGTGAAAGTAATGAGATTCACGAATGGTAGTTGAATGAATGTCAACTCCCTCAATCAATAAGAAATCTATGGTTACCAAGGTGTTCCTTCTTCCAAGGGGTATCTCTGCAAATTGAGGGGTGGAACCAGGCAGACAGTGAGAGGGGTGGAGGGCTATAACAGGTAACCAACTTGTGAATAGTTGGGCATTTTAGTGTGAAACTTGTTATTACATTTTTATTTATCTAATAAAGGGATTATTTTTAAAGATTTAATTAATTAATTAATTAATTAATTAATGAGAGAGAGAGAGAGAGCCCAAGTGAATGCAGGGAGAAGAGCAGCGGGAGAGGTAGAGAGATATAATTTCCAGCAGACTCCCCAGTGAGCACAGAGTCCAATGTGGGGGTCGACCTCAAGACCCTGAGATTGTGGCCTGAGCTAAAACCAGGAGTCAGACATTTAACCAACTGAGCCACCCAGGCACCCCACAAAAGGATTATTTTTAAAAAAATAACCTTTTTTGAATTGTATGATTATTCACCCACTCCCTCTAAAAGTCCCTCATATTTACAACTATGAATTTCACCTATTTTTTAAAAAACAAAATTCCTCCAGAGAATTATTTTATATCATCAGTATACAACAGTATGTTCATCTGCTTTCACTAAAGATACACTTTCAAGTTATTGCTTCTTATAAGACTAGCTAAATTACTCCTTAGCTTTTTTCTAGATGAGGTAAAAAGATTTTTTTTAGCTTTTCTCATGGGTCTTTTCCCCCTAGACTTTCAGTAATATTCAAAGATGTATATGGAACCTCTTTTTAAAATCTCTATGGTCTTTTAAATTGAAAAATATATAAAAACCTGTGTTGTGACAACAGGTTGAGAAGTAATGAGAAAATGGACAAATTAGTTCAGATTTCTTTCCACTTAATCTCGATGTCCTACGAAAATGCTGACTTAGGTTGTAGTTTATGTTTCTTTGATTCCAATATTTTAAAATGGCCCTTGAAATTATATTGAAAAGCTCATGAACAAGTGCATAATCAATGATAAATGAATATTTATGGTTGAGATTTGGGAATTATTAATCAATATACCTCTATACTCTTGGATCTCTTGAAGTTTAATTCATGTGTATTTAATTAGATTCCTACTCCAAATCAACTTTAAGAAGGCTGCTTTTCTTCTTCTTTTTTTTTAATATTTTATTTATTTATTTATTCATGAGAGACACACAGAGAGAGAGGCAGAGTCACAGGCAGAGGGAGAAGCAGGCTTCCTGCAAGGAGCCGATGAAGGACTTGATTCCGGATCCCGGGATCATGCCCTGAGCTGAAGGCAGATGCTCAACCTCTGAGCCACCCAGGCATCCCAAGAAGCCTGCTTTTCAAAACTAGAAATCTACAGTAATACTTTTTTATCTGGGAAATATTTTATAGAAATAGGATTTGTCTTCTGTTATGCCTTTGGACTGTATATTTTGTGCTTACGCTGCTCTGGACCTTGGGTAAACTAGTCCTTTATTTAGGAGTTGAATTTTACATTAAATAACATACATAGAAGAATCTCAATGAAAATTGTTCTAGCATTAAGGATATTGGCAGAGACAGTAAGAGAAGGTAGGTAGAAAGACAAAGAGAGATTTTAGAGGAATGCCCTGAATCTAGATATGCCTTGGTTGAGAAGATAAAACAATTTGAAAATCTTGAATTATCAGGGGAAACAAAGGTGAAGCTTGACTTTTTCTGCCAAATTCAATTTTCACCTTCTGCTTTGGATGTTTGTGTGAACTGCCCAGAAAGGTCAAAGTGTATTGATTTTCCCACTAAAGAAAAATGCACCATGTATTGAGTACACTACAGGCCAGGAATGGTGCATTTTACAGGCAAGCATCTAATCTGTATAAAACCTCAGGAAATAGGTATTATATTCTCCATGTTACTGAAGAGAAAACTGAGACATTAAAAAAAAAAAAAAACTACATCTCTCGGGGAAGGATGAGCAAGTGGGTGGCAGGTACAAGTGAAATAAGATTGGCCATAAATTTGAGTGATGGATGCCGGGGACATCATGCGACTATTCTTTCTATTTTTAAGATATATTTGAAATGTTCCCAAATAAAAAAAATTCTTAAGAAATCACTAATAAAAAATCAAGATTCAAATACATACTTTGTTGATTTCAAGCTTGTGCTCTCTTGATCACATCACATCATACACCTAGTGATTTCTAAAAAGCTGGAGAGCAAATTTCAAGCTAGATAATAAACCAGGAATTTAAATTTTATTTCAGAAAGTAAAAATTGATTCCTTTATGTTCTCAAAAAGAATTGAGTCTATAGTAATCTTAATTTTAATATTTACTCAATGAAGATCTCTTTCCTTCTACTGAACTACTGTGAGATTTAAATAGATTTCTTAAATATCCTGGTGTTACTCATTCAATTGTGTTTCCTGAAATAATTTCTTTTTTCTCTTTTTGTTTTTAAAGAAGGCATTTCAATATTCTAAACATTTGCATTACATATGTGTAGGGACTTGTAAGATTGAACATTTTGTCCATGAGATTGAGTAGGCTTATGAAATTTGTGAGCTAAGCATTAAGAAGGTTGAATTTAGCTATGGCAAGAAAAACCTGTGGAGCTGTGGGTAACGAGAGCCACTTCAGCGGGAATGACTTTTTGGGTCTATTTTAGGTAGTGCTTTCACTCTTTCACCTGCTTAATGAAAAGGTCACCTGTTTAATGAAAAAGTTTCCTAAGAAATAGAATGTATCTGAACTACATCATATTTATATAAAATTATAAAATTTTATAAAAAATTATAAATTATATAAATATATAAATTATATAAATTTATATATTATTTATAAAAATAAATTTATAAAAATTATAAAATTATTCCATTGAAGACACCATGCTAAATGAAAACAAGGCAGAAACAAAAGGCTATCGGTTCTATAATTTCATTTATATGACTTTTGAAAATGAAAAAGCTTTAGGGATAGAAAACCAATCTGTGGGTTGCTGGGGGATACTGTGGAGAAAGGCAGCTGATGGCAAAGGGGCACTGTCTGGGTGAAGGCGCTGTATTTGATTTTCATGTGGTGGTAGCTACACAGCTTTTTTTCCCCCAGATTAATAGAACTTTATGTAAATTTATTTATATGTCAATTTATTGTATGAAAATTATATCTCAGCAAGTCCAATTACTATGTCTAATAATATGTGTGTGTGTGTGTGTGTGTGTGTGTGTGTGTGTGTGTGTAGTTTTCAAAATATGCCTCTGTGTCAATGAAGGCACAGAGGTATGCACTTACCTGTATGCTGACCGGAAGCCCCAGTCCCTGGTTGTCAACCACAGCTACAGTAATGACAGTCTGGATCACCAGGGCAATGAAGGTGTTGATTCCGAACACCAGGGCATAGCGTTCCATGCTGAGATTAACAGCAATCTGAAATCTAACAGTGTACAAATGGAAAGAGTTTTGAAAGCACACATGTGTGGGTTTTTATTTTATTTTTTTTAAAGATTCTTTACTCATTTGAGAGAGAGAGAGAGAGAGAGAGAGAGAGAGAGAGAGAGAGAGAGAAAGCAGAGAGAGAACATATGAGCAAGGGAGGGGGTGGCAGAGGGAAAGGGAGACACATATCCTTGCTCACCAGGGAACCCTACACAGGACTTGATTCCAGGATCCAGGACCCTGGGATCATGACTCCAGCTGAAGGCAGATGCTTAACCCACTGAACCACCCAGGCACCCTCATAGGTAAGCTTTTAAATACAGAGAAGGGAATTGTGTTGTTCCCAAGATTTGGCTCCCCTCAGGAAGCCCAGGCCTCTGTTGGCAGTCTCCTGCTAAAAAGCTCTTCCAGCAGAGAAAAAGGAACAAGGGTAAGTGGCATAATGAAGTGTTATATTTTAACATTCTATGAGATGTGATATATTATGAGAATTTAAAACTAATTAACCTTTTCTAAAATTAAACCAAATATTCCAAATGTTCTGCTATAAGGGAACACTGAACATTATTGGACATGGATATGGTGTAGGAGTCACTTTTTAACCTAGACATATGAATGAATAAATCAAAAGTCAATCTGATGAGTTTTTACTTATTTGTAGGCTGTTCACCAGATCGTTGACTGTCTACATTAGCAGTTTCAGAGTCTAATAGGTAAATTTTTTTTTCTAGAAAACTCACAAATTATTTTCTTTCACAGTCAAGTCAAACTGGCAATTAGTTTATTTTAAATTGGTTGGTTTTTAAAATTTAGTCAGGCAAGACTGAAATATATACATTTGAATTCTTCCATCTAATTCAGCTAAAATACTTATAACTCGAGTTTATTAAAAAATAAGAAAACAGAGGCACCTGGGTGGCTCAGTCAGTGAAGCATCTGCCTTCGGCCCAGGGTCCTTGGATCCAGTCCTGTGTGGGGTCCCCAGCTCAGTGGGGAGTCTACTTCTCCCTCTCCCCCTGCTTCCCCACACTACTCATGCTCTCTCTCCCTATTCTCTCAAGTAAATAAATAACTAAATAGATAAGTAACTAAATAAATAAATAAAATCTTAAAAAATATGGAAGCAAATGGAAAGTTTTAACTATGGGTTTTAACATCCCTTCCCCAAATCATCATATTAAAAGACAAATATAAGCATTTAAAAATCATGTGATTCAATGAAAATGTTTATTTCAGTGCAAAAAATTATCAACTAAACATAACAAAACCTATAAATAACCCTAGATTCCACAAAGTGAATATAACATGTGGCCCAAATGGGCCTTATAATTTCAGGGGTTCCTTGCTCAGCTAACAATTTTTTCCTCTGGAAAAAAAATATTACACTACATAGATGCTCTTGAAACCTAGATTACATCAAATGGCAGATTCCCTTTCAGTATGCAAATTATTTCAGATTGGAATCTTGATTTAATCAGTACAGATGCTTAAACAATGCATCAGCAATTACTTGGTTTTGGATAAGACTTTTATATGTGGGGGGTTCAGATGGAGTCATAATACTGACATCAGGCTGAGGGTGGCATTGAATCCTAAGATTTTTCAGTTTAAGCCCAAAAAGTATTTCTCCAGGTAACTGAAATGACAAGGAATCACACTGTCTAAAATTTTATTTCAAAGCTCTTACTGAGTCGTAAAACTATGATGCAGAGTACACTGCTCAGGGCTAATACACTTTTGGAAAGAGAACTATATTCATGTTCTTCTGTTAGGCATTTTTTTAGCACTCAATACACATGAGCCTCTGGGATAGTCTGTAATTTAAAGATTGAACCACTTTGAAATTTTATTTGATCATTTACATTTCATATATCATGACATTAAGGGATTGGTGTTTATCAATTTACCCATAACTCAAAGGAAAGTAATAGGAACAATTTATAAAGCATTAAAAAGCACATTATTTTGTGCCAATATAAAAACAGAATGGTTAAATTAAAAAAAATCAATAGCTCAAAGTTACTATTCTTTATGTTGTATTATTGTATTTGTTCATCGCTTTTTTTTTTTTCAAGAAATGCTAACCAAATGTTTATCATGAAGCAAGGATAAGTATTGGGGCATACCAATGAATAAGCATGATTTTTCCCCTCACAGAGCTTACACTTCAACAGGGAATACGTAACTGAACCCAGACAACTGCTTTGACTAATATTTAATTAAATTTATCAGTTTTTATCATGAAAAAGAAGTAGAAAAAATATCTTCTTTTATAGACTAATCATATTTTTTTAATATGAACTTCTTGTATCACATGATGGTTGAAACCATGGATGGTCGATCATAGAATTTCTTCCAAATCTGAACACTAATGCTTTGCATTAGAAATACATTTATCCTACATGTACTAAATTTATTTTAAAATTTTCTTAGAAGTTAGAATAGTAAAAAGATGTGAATGAAGTTATAGAGACCGGATTCACCTACAGATGATATTCTATCAGTATTCTGAAGCTGGACATGAGAGTGATAATTTCATTTAGCGCCAAATTTGAGAGATCTATGAGGTCAAGTTCTTTTCTTTGCCCCACTATGAGTGTATATCCTGACACTAAGATCAATCATGTGACTGAATTGATAAACTAGATGAAAGACGATCACTGAGCTTTATGTAGAATGTTCTGTACATATTGTCTGGGAAAAGCTTGACCATCAGCATATGAATTCCATCTTCACGGCCTCCCAGAATCTCAGCATTCTTATTATTCATGTGGCTTAACCCTCTACTTCCTCATGTCTGTGATAAATCATTCTGGGAATTTCTTAACACACCAAAACATTTTGGTTGATTGAGTTTTCCTGAACTATCTATATTCTGACAGTTAATCTTACTATTTTTTCCCCAGATTTTCCTATTTGGTTCTTTAGAAGAACAATATTGACTTGCTTCATGGTATGCAATAGAAATGCAGATGGCTGTGAGCCAATATGTTCTGAAATATTCAAGAATAGTATACTTTTACTTTTTCACTGTGTGGAAGCTGTGGTCAGTACAAATAACTCTGAAAATTATTTTTACTAATTTTCAAGTTCTCCATCTTCCTAAATGTAGCCATGGAGCAGTAAACCAAACTAATTTAGGTTTGGCTTGAGTTCTTTTTCCTAATCGAGAGTTAGATTGCTAAGAGAAAACAAAACATTTTGAATAATTTTAAACATAAAAGTGGGGGAAGGTAGAGATCTCCTTGTTAGTATGCTGAAGATCAGAAAAGACTGAAATAACAATAAGAAAATAACAGGATAAACCAAAAATCATACTATTCCATAAAGAAAACATAAGTATAGTTAAATTGCCAAAAATCAAATAAACCAGAAAATCTTAGAAGTAGCCAAAAGTAAAATTATCATCACATTTAGTGGAACAACAATGAGAATGACAATGAACTCCTTAATGCAAGCTGGAAGACAATGGAATAATAAATCTTTAAAATGCTGAATGGAAAAAAAAACCCACCACTATTAACTTAGAATTCCAATCAGCAAAAATATACTTAAATGACAATAAAATGTATTTTCAAATAAAATTTGAGAGAAATTATTCACCAGGAGGTTCACACTACAAGAAATGTTAAAGGAAGTTTTCAGGCTGAAGGGAATCAACAGTAAAAGGAAACATGGACGTATAAAAAAAAAAAAAAGAAAGAAAAGTATTGGGAATGGTAAATCTATGAGCAAATTATTTTTTTCTTGTCTTAATTTTTTAAAATATAATTTTCTGTTTAAAGCAAATAGAATAATAATGTACTGTAGCATTTATAACAGAAACTGAAGTGAAATCTATGAAACAGTACAAGGGACAGGGAGTAAATGGAATTATGTAAAGTATTTATACACAAAGTAGTATAATATTAATTTAAGAAAAACTGATGGGTTAAAAACCTAATCCTACTAAAAACATAAAGACTTAGCCAAGGAAAACAAATAGAAGAAATAAAAATGGAATTAAAAAGAAAGCTCAAAAAAAAAAAAAACCCAAACAAACAAAAAGAAAGCTCAATTAGCTTCAAAAGAGGGATAAAGACAAATGAACAGTTGGGACAAATAGTAAAGAAATAACAAACTCGTAGACTTAACCCCAATTGTAAGTTACATGGGGTTCACAGGCGAGTTTCTTTAATGTGTAAATTAATGTTTTAAATGAATGTTTGAGTTTCTTGGATATATAAATTAAATTAATGCTTTTGATCAAATTTGGGAACTTTTTGGCCATTGCTTCTTTACAGGTGTTTTTTCTTCCTCTTTATGTTCTCTTCTTCTGGGACTTCATAATGCATATATTGATATATTTTATGGTGTTCCATAGGCCTCTAAGAAAAGTTTAAGTCCAAAGAGCATGCCAAAATTATGCAGCTGATAATGTTAAGTCGCAGAAAAATATTTTCAGATGTTTGCTTTATCCATGATCCACTTTCTAATTAAAATTAAACATATTACCACACAGGAAATGATAAGTAACACCTACCTAATCCTTTTAGATATTCTCTAGGCAGCATTCATCACTTCTCTTAGCTCATTTTCTTTCTTTTTTAATTAATTGAAATAAAATATTCTCTATGTTTAAACTGCTGTATGATTTAACATTTATTATCTTTATATGTAATTTTATAGAACAGCTTCACTTCTACAACTGCCCTGAAACTATTTGAAGAAACAGATGTGCTGTGATTTTTCAAGCAGGTAGGGAAAATTGGGAGTGAAAACTAAACTGAATCACTATTAGATCCAATCACATCTTATTTTGTTATTAAATAAAATAAAATCAAAGCAGAGAAATTGGAACAATGGTACGCTGTTGGTGGGAATATAAAATGATGCACCACTATGGAAAACAGTATGGATGTTCCTGAAAAAATTAAAAATAGGACGACCAGGGCACCTGGGTAGCTCAGTGGTTGAGCATCTGTCTTTGGCTCAGGTCATGAACCCAGGATCCAGGATCGAGTCCCACATCGGTCTCCCTGCGAGGAGCCTGCTTCTCCCTCTGCCTGTGTCTCTGCCTCTCTCTCTCTCCCTTTGTTGTGTCTCTCATGAATAAATAAATAAAATCTTAAAAAAAATAAAAAAATAAAAATAGGATGACCATACAATCCAGAAATTCACACTTCTGAGTATTTATCCAAAATAGTTGAAACCAGAACTTAGAAGAAATATGAGCACCCCCATGTTTGTTATACTGCTATTCACAATAGCCAAGATGTGACAACAACCTAAATGTCTATAGATGGATTAATTAATAAAGAAAATGTAGTACATACATGCAATTGACTATTAGCCTTTAAAAAGAAGGAAATCTTGCCATATGCAACAACATGGATGAATCTTGGGAACACTAAATAGGAGGACAAATGTTGCATGATTCCATTTATATGATGTATCTAAAATAATCAAATTCATAGAAGCGTAATAGAGTGGTGGTTTCTAGGGGCTGAGTAGAGGGGAAATTAAGTTGCTACTTAATGTATATAAATATGTATCTTTCAGTCATGCAACACAAATAAGTCTGAAGCAGTCTGAAGTACAACATCATGCCTAGAGATAAGAATCTGGTAATACCCACTTAAAAATCTGCTAAGAGGGATACATCTCATGCTAAGTGTTTTAAAAAAGACTACAAAAGAAAAAATTAATAAAATGACTCCATTAAATAAGTACAGTATAAAAACATTAAAAATCAAAACCTCAGAGTATATCATTGTTTATTAGTTGTGAGAACTTTGAATTTTTTTACTGGGTTAATAACCCTAATCGAGTCCCAAGAGAAAGTCAGTTAAAATAAGAATATAGTTCTGTTGTGTCTTATTTTAAACATTAAATGTAACATTGCAAATGCTATTCAGAAGAACTGGAAGAATAAATAAATAAATCTGTCTCGTTGCTTCAGATTTAGATCAAGAAATCATAAATACTTACGCTGCTATTGTTATGAGAAGCATGTAACTTGACTTGAAGATCAAAAAACCAGCATAGCACACCCAAATATTAGTCGTGTAATGCATGAGAAATAGAGAACCTGCATCTGCAGCTGAGAATATCGCCAGGGCCAGCTCTCCCAGGAGATCCCAGTTGACTTTCACACAGCCTGCTGTGAAGGCAGCCAGAGCCCCTGGAAAGAAAGGAACCCACGTATAGTACAACCTGTCATCCACACGTAACAAAATAGGGCACCATTTTGTTAAAATTCACATTGGATAGGCATTGAAGCATTTTCAGGCTATGGTAAAACATGTTGACTTATTGTGAACTTCGATTGAATGAAAATCATTTGATCTAGTTCTGTGAAGTGTACATATCTTTTTCTCCTAAAGTTTGAAATAGACCAGCTGAATTTGGGTTTCCATAAACCACAGACTGGAACGACCCCATAGAGGCCATTTCTTTTTCTTTCTTCTTCCCTTTGAGGAGATAAAACTCGGGTTCAGAAATCTGATGTCAAACAAAAACCAAACCAGACTTTGATAGGAAGAGGCTTTATTCAGAAGAAAGACTTGCAATAGGGAGAACGCTCTGATTGCCAAAATCTGCAAGCATCTTGAAATCAAATAGAAAAAGGTTTTCTTTTGTGAGGGTACTTCTCTGTAGGGCAAGTAGACATAAGCAAGATCTTTGGAGAGGAAGCTGGACAAGCAAGGGGAAATGATCAGTGGAAATGGACAGGAAAGTGTCCTGCTGTGGTCAGTCAATTTTCAGGAGAAGCTGATGGGGGGCTGGGGCACATTCCATACTATGTTGTGTTTACTCAGAGTTGGGGCAAGCAAAATGTGAGGCGTCTGTAATAAGGAGAGGAGCCTGACTCAAGTTCAGTCAAGACAAAGCACAGTGTAAGGAATGGTCATTTGTGAATACTTGGTGACCAAGTGAGGCATCAAGTTCTTCAAATTGAATGCCAGTCCTTGCTACCATGTCCTTCTCTGTGCCATGCAATGAATGCTCTAGCAAGGAGGGATTCTCTCTTTCTGTCCTTACCTCTGTTTTCTCTATCTTCTCTATAACATCAATTTGAAAATGTCCTCAAATCCCTGAAAGATACCAAAACTTTTTTTAAATTTTTTTTGATATCAAACCTTTTTTCAAGAATTCTCTCCTTACAATTTCCCCTCATTTGTTAGTTTAATCATTCCCCTCTTTATTTGCTGACTCATTCCTTCACCTACCCACCCATCAAACATTTTTAAGCTTCTCTGTGGGAAAATATGGTGGTCAACTTTGGATCCTTGCTCTTGAAAATAATATAGCCTACTGGAGAAATTGGATATATCAATTTATAGTTTTAATAGTGTGATAAGGATTGGAAAAGTGCTGACCCCAACTCAAATTTAAACTAACCATAACCTAGTGGTTCTCCCAAGGGAATTTTTGCCCTTCAGGGGACAGATGGCACTATTTGAAGACAACTTTGGCTGCCATGACTTGGCAGGGGTAGTGTTGGTGTTGGTGGTAGTATGCTAAGGGGATCTAGTGGGATGAGACCAATGATGCTGTGGGACATCTTACAATGCATAGGACAGGCCCCAGGACAAAGAGTTTCCCTGCCCAAAATGTCAATAATGCTAAGTATGAGAAAATTGACCCAAGCCCTTTATGTAGTCACAAGACATACCCCAGGACAAATTCATTTAATAATGTTCATTATGTAGACATGCTTTATAATGTATACATTGTGCTGTGAATAAAGCAATCAATTGTCAGGTTTCTTGCTACCCTTAGCTTTCTTTCTTAAAGAAAGAAGGCTTAGGCCAGCAGACCAGTCCTTATTCACCTGGTTCTGCCTAAAAATTTGACACTAATTAGGGTCCTCCCTATCACAAAGAGACTAAAGAAATATTATATTTAGAAGGCTTTTAAAGAATTAATTTTATGAACATTTTACCTTTTCTACAGATGCCCTCAGTAAGGGCACATTATCTGAAGAGAGGATTTTTTTCCTCCCCTCTCCTGAGGAGCAAGTCCTTAGGGAGGAAGTGGATTTAAGGTAAATAAATCCTAGAACAGGTTTCTAGGAGTCAAAATGGAATTTTTAGAAAGGGAAGTCAGAAGAATATTACCTCAACAATGGACCCTGAAATGTTCAACAAATATGTGGGTGTGGAACACCCCAACTTCAAAAATATTATCTTCAAAGTCCTATTTGATGTGAAGGCTTTGTTATGTCAGGAAAATCCATGTGCATTGTTGGGCTCACTTCAAAGCTAGCTCTGGGCTCTACCCTTTGGACTTTAGAGCATTAACTCTGTGTCAGCCCACCGTCCCTCCTTCTCTTCACCTCAATCTCTTTGGAAAAGGATTTCAAACTTCACAAACTATGTTCTGGGGGAAACGAAGCATGCAGGGACAAGAATCTAGGAAGCCCCAAATCACTATAGCTTCTCAGCCAGGAGGGAAGTTTTTGGAAAGTAGAAAGCCCAGGACAAGGTTGAAGGGTGAAGCCTGTAGCAGAAGCTAGAAAACCTCCTTCCCCCAGAGACCTACTGAAGGTCACTCAGTCTCGCTGCCTCATCCTCTTGGTCAAAATGCAATATCAGAAATCCGCCTATAGGTAAATAAGGTTGAAGCAGACGCTTACCAGTCAGCTCAAGAGGAAGCAGTAAATGCTCAGGAACATACATATCCTCTTGGAGGGCCTGTCTCACCCACCATGTCACCCCCCGCCCCCCCACCTGCCTTTCTCCTTTTCTATTACACTTTGTCTTTTACAGCCATTTTCTCCACAGTCAAGGATTACTATTTGTTAATGGCTACCGTGGAGGGTCACAGTTCTTACTGGTTCATACTAATGACAGATGAATGAAAGTATATAATGTAGGAAAGGGCAGAGAAAAAATTATACAAGATAATACAATAACCTGGCTGTATAGAAGAGATGGAAGATTGTAAGAATCCAGTCTGGAGTCACTATTATTCTAACAAATATCTGGATATGGTAAGGAATGAGGAAGCTGAGTCTGGGAAATAATCTTAATCAGAAGACAGCAAGCTTTGCCAAATCCCTACATGTAGAGTTAAGGAGAGATATAAATATATTATTTAAGTTGTCTCAATGGGAACTTTGAAATGATAAAGTATCTCCTAGAATAATAGATTTCAAATATCTTTGGCCACAGCCTGAAAAAGGAATATATTTTATATGTCCACTAGTACATACATATGTGTATGTAAACAGAATTTTCACAAAATAGAACTTATCCTTATAAGCTGCAATGTATTCTATTCTATTCTATTCTAAATTTTCTATTCTGTTCTTTTTTTTTAAAGCCACATTTTAAAAAAGATTTTATTTATTTATGACACAGAAAGAGAGAGAGGCAGAGACACAGGCAGAGGGAGAGGCAGGCTCCATGAGGGAGCCTGATATGGGACTTGATCCCAGGATTCCAGGATCACACCTTGGGCAGAAGGCTGGTGCTAAACCACTGAACCACCCAGGTGTCCCTATTCTGTTCTTTGATTAAAAAATGCTGGTTAGGGATCCCTGGGTGGCGCAGCGGTTTGGCGCCTGCCTTTGGCCCAGGGCGCGATCCTGGAGACCCGGGATCGAATCCCACGTCAGGCTCCTGGTGCATGGAGCCTGCTTCTCCCTCTGCCTGTGTCTCTGCCTCTCTCTCTCTCTCTCTGTATGACTATCGTAAATAAATAAAAAAAAAATTAAAAAAAAATGCTGGTTAGAAATCCACTACATTGATTTCAAGATCTTTACTCTATAAAGGGCTGGGTAGTAAATATTTTAGGCATGTGGATCACATAGCCTCCTTTGTTTTTATTTGGTTGCTTGCCTGGATTTGTTATTTTTACAACCCTTGTCATATATTATTTTTTTCTCTTACAACCTCTTAAAAATGTAAAAACTTTTAGCTCTGGGAGGCATGAGCCATCGTTTGCCCACTTCTATTAATGGTTTGCAAACTGTAGTTTCTAAAGACCAGAGTTACAGAGCAGTTAGAGAGGAAAGTGATGAGATAGCTTAACCTTAAACCATTCAACTCTTTATGGCCAAACCAGGTTCAGCCAATGGGACACAAATTTGCAGTCCCTGTTTTTATGGATTGGTAAAACTTTATCTTCCATGGATAGCTATGTCAATCTTCCCTTATGTTCATTCCCTCTTTTAAATTTTGTGGCAAAAACTCTTTTCTTTTTTGGTATTCAGTGTTGAAATCACTACAACCAGTCGACCTAAGACTATGATTTGGAAGACTATCTCTCCTGCACATCGAAAAGATAGTCTGGTATACCGACCTCCAAAGGTTGCCAGGGCTTCTACTGCTCCATTATAGATTGTAGAACTTTGGGATGGTGCCTTGTAATCCCACAGGATTTGGACATAGTTCAAAACCTGGTTAAAACCTGCTGTGGAGAAGGCCCACCACAGGGACCAGTAAAAAAGATGCTTTGAGGAGTAACAACCCTTCAGATCTTGGAACCACTGCACAAAAACTCTCAAAGTTACATTTCCTGGCTTTGGAGTATTCAATGGACCATCATCTTGGTTCCTTGAAAAGGTGAATAGTTCTTGGTAGACTGGTTTGTGATCCGTTTGCGGTTCCTCTAAGAAAGCATCTTTTCCTGGTGGCTTTGGAGGAGCTTCTTTGCTGGATTTTGCATGAAAAAACATGCTCTTCTTAGGCATTGGTAGGAAAAGTGAGAAAAGAAAGGCCACACAGACAGAGGCCAAGGATATGACATTGAGGTAAAAGTACGATACGTTGGCCAGGGACACCAGGAGCTGGGCCAGCACCGAGGCCGCTGTGTAGGCCACAAGTGTGATGCTCCTGCAGTAGCCACTCACTTTCTGGTAGTGCTCTGGGCTGACCACGCTATAAATGTAGGCATAGTAGGCCACCTCGGTGGCAGAGACCATCCCATAGAAGAACTCTAGCACCTGCATGGCTCTTAATCCTTGACCAAATACAAGCAACAACCAGGTGATGATGAAGCTGATCCCTTGCAGGATAATGACTGGTTTGTAGCGGACGTAGTCGGTGAGGATGAACACGGGGAGCAGCAGCACCAGATAAGAGTATGTCCAAATTGGAAAGATCTCATTTGTGATCTGTAAGTGTAAATGGGGAGGGTGTGAGGACAAAAGCACCAGAAGTGAAACACACCATAGATCTCACAGATATATATTATCCAGATGACATGTATCCGTCCTAGGACATATTGTTTGGCCCCACATCAATTTGATACTTCACATGAGTTTCTGACAATATGGTGGAAAGCTATGGGAGCTGAAATTCAAGGAAACAAAGTGTAAAAATCATAGATCTTCATAACATGTGGGTTCCTTCCTCCAGATATAAAGAAAGAGCAGTTATTATTCTTAGTTATCTGGTTCTTTCATTTTTTTTTTAAATTTTTATTTTTATTTTAATTTATGATAGTCACAGAGACAGAGAGGCAGAGACACAGGCAGAGGGAGAAGCAGGCTCCATGCATCGGGAGCCCGACGTGGGATTCGATCCTGGGTCTCCAGGATCCCGCCCTGGGCCAAAGGCAGGCGCCAAGCCGCTGCGCCACCCAGGGATCCCTGGTTCTTTCATTTTTATTTAAATATTTTTAAAATTTATTTATTCATGAGAGAGAGAGAGAGAGGCAGAGACATAGGCAGAGGGAGAAGCAGGCTCCCGGCAGGGAACCTGACACAGGACTCGATCCCAGGACTCTAGGATGACATCCTGAGCCAAAGGCAGATGCTCAACCACTGAACCACCCAGGCATCCCTGCTTCTTTCATTTTTTAAAATGGAATGTGATCTACATAAGCCCCTGAGGCTGGGAAAGAGGCCATAATGCATATGTTAGCCTTACCAGCTTTCCCAGGGCTGTGTAGGGCTGCTCGCTTGCTGTTGCCTGTCCTTTTAAAATAGTTTACCCTTCTTCAATAAGGTTAAAAAGAATGTTTCAGTACTGGCGGAACCTGACCATATTTACCTTTGATTCACATCAGTATGTAAAACGTGCAGACTATCTAGAGATCATCTGGGTGACCAGAAACACATAGGCCAAATGACCAGTTCCAGACTGAATATCAGAAGAAGGAACACTAGTCTGTCTTCTGTTTTTCTACATTCATGGCCTTTATTTCTTGGGCTGCTTTGGAGGAGCCATGAGAAACCCCTTAGTATGTCTCTGGTTTAAGTTAACTTTGGTCATGGTTTTCCAGGAAACACTGGTGGTATCAGCAAATCATCTGAGCCCACCAATAATACATAATTATTTTCGCTTCTGTAAGCGGGATCTATAGTGGATGGAAGATCATGTAAAGAAGGCTGGGGTGGGCCCTCTTAAATCTCTGTTCTTTCAGGGTCTTGCTGACCCTCTCAAATCCCAGGGTCTCAGATCACTGACATAAACCCACCAGTTTACTAAGCCTGAGAGTGTCCTTCATTTTGACCTACTCTGTGCCCTTACTCCTTGAGTTTTCAGGTCACCTTTTACCTAAATGTTCTTAGAGTTTGGTAGAACTTTATTCTGGATCTTCCTGACATTTAGGTGTAGTCACTAACCCAGCAAAAGCTACCTTCCAGATCTGTTTTTTGTGACTGGCTCTGGAGTATAAATCCAGCCCTGAGCTATCTCCCAGCCAAACCTCTTTGCACCTACTGGCATTCAAGATTGGCATGTGCTTTTTTTTTTTTTTTTTTAATTGGGAGAGAAAGTGCTAGATTGGTTTAGAGGTCAGAATTTCCTTAGTTTGGGTGGAGCATGAGGATGGTTTCTGGGAGAGGAAGGCCATGGGAGATACAACTGTGATGCCGCTTTTGCTGAATAACCAGCCTGTAAAATGGGTGTGACATTTTTTCCCCTAAATAAATCAAATTGTGTGATCTTATTATTGTTCAGTGACTAAAGTGATGGTTCTCAGATGTTAGTATGTGTCAGATTCACCTGGAGGGTGTGTTAAAACAACCAGATTTTCAGACTCAGTAGTTCCAGGGCAGGGCCTATATATGAACATTTCTAACAAGTTCTGAAATGATGCTCTTGCACTGGTCTGAGGACCCCACTTTGAGAACCACTGACTCATAGACTCCTTAGGATTAGATCCTACGACCTAACTGAAAGCTAACAACAGCCTTAATATCAGTACATAAAGAGAAAAAAAAAAAAGCTTCAGAGGATTTTTTGCATATACTTTTTCCTAACTTTTTCCACCCAAATCTTATACTATCCTCTAAGTAAGCATGGCTTTATTTTAGGTTCATGATAATAAGCAATGACATCCTGGAGTATTGCTTTTGTACAGCTGACAGATTGTTTTGAAGCCACCACATTTTTGTGGTGGCGAAGTTTTATATTTTTACATGACAAATAGAAATCATTAAGGCCTATTTTTCACATTTGAGACTGTAAGGAGTGCTGATACTTTGCTCTTACCCAAGGCTTTAGACGTTGTTCTAACAAGATATAAATCTAAGATAAGCATGTTACTAAACTTACTGTGCTGAGGCTTATATTTTTATCTGGTCCTGCTAAATAAGGTATGACAAATGGCTCTGATGGTTTCATCATTGAGAAGAATCCAAAGCAGCAGAGGTTTACTGTGGGAAAAACCCAGGAATGGCTTGGTGATGTCCGGCAACAATTCATGGATGGTTAACCTGCTGGAGGAAAAAGAAAAAAGCAAGTCAGAAGATTGATGGTTTCTTTTCATCAAATGTCCCCATGCTCCATTTGTCCTTTGGTCTTAAAAATGAAAACAGGAAAATCGTGGTGACAGTAAATATATATCACAGGTCAAAACACAGGGACTTGAGTCTTGTCTTTGGGTTTCTTGGTTTAAAGAGAATGGTAATGGTTACTTAAAAACACTGAAGCAAGGAGGTTAAGTTTCATGTCAGCTGGAATGGCGGGGTCACTGAGGAAAAAGTACTCCCCAGTATGGCAAGCCTGTCGGTCATGCTCTCCCGTAATCTTTTACAGTAGAAAGAAGTCAGAGAATTTCTCCTCAGGCAGAAATCTTGGGCATTAGATAAGATTGGTGGAATTTTGATAAACATAGTTGCTAAGCAAACATCTGCTTCATGCCCCCATCATGAGCCTATTACCTTGTTGCGGTTGATGAACTGGAAATCCATTTTAATGAGTGCTTTTAACTGGTGAATAAAATAGCCTTTGGTTAGTGAAGATTTATAAAGCAGATAGACCCCTTGTTCTTTCTGAGAACCAAACTCAGAGTGAACCTTGGTTTAACATGAGAATCTTCTAGTAATTTGAATTGTCATCTTCCCAAGTGGTTTCATTTAATACCTCTCTTCAGAGGAATTACATGACATCTTGACAATATGGTGTCATGGATGAAATTTAACAGTACTCAGAAGTACTTTTCTGAGTTGATATTTAGCTCTTGCTCTGTTCCTATTTTTCCCCACCCCTGTTGCTAATACTGAAACCTGAGAACTTTTTTTCGGGAGGATAAGCCTTACCTTCAGCTGACTGAGGGAAGACATGGGCAGCCTTTAGAAAGGCAATCCACTGCTCTGAGAGGACCACAATCGCTCACTCAGTCACTCAGTCATTGACCATTTCTTCCCTGAAGCTTCCAGACCCTCTCCATCTTCTCTCCCGCCTTAATCTCTGCTTCCTTTCAGTTACAGCCCAGGTGAGGCAGTATGGCGTGACAGTCAGAGGCAGGGCTCTGGAGACAATAGGGTCCAAATTCTTCTCTGCTACTTACAAGCATGTCAACTTTGGCCAGTTACTGGACCTTTTTGATACCTCAGACTTCTCATCTGTAAAATGGGAATGATAATACCTACCTCATGTTGTTTTGAAGATTACATGCATTAACACATGTTAGAAGGATGCCAGTCAGTAAGCATACACTATGCATTCTGTAGAATGGATGGCTCTGGAAAGCACTAAGGTATGGACATGCACATCTGCTCATTAGCTTGGCAGCTCCGTGGGGGCAGGGATTGATTGTCATCATGGAGTCTGGCATACAACCTTACACATCAAAGATCTCCTGGAAACGTTTGTTGAAAGTATAGCCATTGGATTGTACCCCAGTGGGGTTTTCTAATTGACCAGAACAATTCAAACAATAGTGAGGAGATATTTTCTAAGCGTTCTAGTTACGTAAATTTGTTCTGTGGAGTGGGAACAGCAAGCCACTGTTTGATTCTCAAGAATATGGAGGTCACTCTTTTTTTCCCCCTAAAGATTTATTTATTTGAGAGAGACAGAGAGAGAGAGAGAGAGAGAGAGAGAGAGAGAAGGGGAGGGGGGAAGGGATAGGGAGACAATCCCAAGGAGGACTTCCACCCCAACCCTGCTGAACGCGGAGCCTGATGTGGGTCTCGATCCCAGGACCCTGAGACCATGACCTGAGCTGAAACCAAGAGTCAGCCATTTAACCAAGTGAGCCCTATCCAGGTGCCCCTGGAGGTTGCTCTGAAAATAGTTTTGGAATAATGAAATGAGGATTCCCTGGTGAAAAGAACGAGGCCTTTGTAGTTGAGCAAATTCAAATCTTGAATCCACCTTTTGAGTTGTGTGAGCCCTGGACAAGTTTCTCAATGGGCCAAGGGCTCAGTTGTCTTCACCTGTGCAGGTGGGTAACTTCTCATGCCCCACCAGATGTTGGCAGCCAGTTTGTTCAAGGAGGTTGAATTCAAAATGGGTGGACTGGTTGGTCTGGAAGCCATTACCACCACAACGGGAAGATTCACGTAACAAGGGATCATGTGGAGAAATAGCTACAAGGAATCCTCTTTTTTTTTTTTAATAATAAATTTATTTTTTATTGGTGTTCAATTTACCAACATACAGAATCCTCTTGATTGTGAAATCAGGACTATGGCTGCCAGGATGGGCTCCAAGTTTGCCCCCTGCGGATATCCTCACTTATTGCAAAAGGACAGTGTGTTTATTTTCTCAGTGGTGCTCTGACTGCATAGCCCCTCTGAAGCCATTGGCATTCCTTTTGGCCTGTGGACAACTTATGGCTCCCTAGGAAGAACTTCGAAGACCCCGGGTGTACACTGTTCCCTGATATGTGCTCTCCGCTGAGATTGAAGGGAGTGAAGAACCCAGTGTGAAAGATGCAAACTTTCCTTCCTTAGACCCCTTTTTCTAATTCCAAGCCATCTTTTCCCTTTTTGGAATGAATGGTGGAGTGATAGCATTAAAAAGAGACAAATACCGAATTTACAATCTCAGTTACCCTAGTGGTATGATTGCTAATAGTTCAAGCAGGTGATAATTCTTTTTTTTTTTTTTTAGGTGATAATTCTTAGTTGATTTTTAACCTGTTGCTTCAAAGGTCATTGCAAAGCAGTTAAAATGTTACCAAACAAACGATCCGATTTGCAATTAGTTATGTCAAAATGCAAACTTCTGGTCTTCCTGAGGCTGTTGGGTGCACTGACACAGTGGTCTTCTGTTTCAGGACACAGATCTATCCCAGCTGCTTCAGGTGGGGGGTGTCTGTAGTGTCAGGGCTCTCGCTGCTTGAGGGGCTGGTGCACTGCCACTAGTGGGTGGGCATTTAATAAGTATCCCAGCAATTGCTGTGATGTGGACCTTTTGATGGATTTTTTTTTTCTGTTGTACTTAACATAGGTGACTGAACTTACTCAAATTCCTTTGCCTCTCTGAGTCTCACTAATTAAGAGAAGGTAACAGTGATCTACTTTAGTATTTGTGAGGAGTAAATGAGGTCAACAGGAGCGGACTCAGGGCACTGCCCAGCATAGTTAAACACCAGTGTCTTTCCCTGGCCTTTCTTTGAGAATCTGGTTTAGTTCCAGAGACCCAGCAAATCACACCACCAATAAACCACTGATAGAGGAACAGCTCATAATAGACCCAGCTAAGTAGAATCACTGATCATCAGTACACAAAGTAGAAATAACTTCAAAATGAATTTAAGAGAATAAGAAGACACTGAAAGAGTCAATCCACAGTTTAAGATTGCAAGGAAAACTGTTTCTTTAAGGAATTAAATTGTCTGAAAGCCCTTTATAAATACTAACTTACATAGGAGAGATCATGAGTCATACTCACTTGCCTTTTAATCAGACCTTTATGGTCTGCCATAAAGGGAACTCTTAATCAGTTTAGTTATGTTCTGCTCGTAATACATGCTGTCCACACCTATACTTCTCCATCTAGATGTTTTACTAAATTCATTTGGAGTCTTCTCTAAATTAGTGAACACTTACTGTATGTAAAGATTTTATGTACACTTACTATAATTTTTAAAGAATTAAGAGAAAATGATCTCTATATTCCAGCTCACCATTACTCTGTATCAAAAGTATTGTTTTTTAAAAAATCTAGATGATTTAAATCAGCTTTCCAGGTCAACATTTTCCATCCAGACCTAGCTCTGCCCTTCCTTCCTTCCTTCCTTCCTTCCTTCCTTCCTTCCTTCCTTCCTTCCTTCCTTCCTTTTTTTCTTTTTCTTTTCTTTCTTTTTTTTTAAATATTCTGTTTATTTATTCATGAGAGACACACACACAAAGAGGCAGAGACATAGGCAGAGAGAGAAGCAGACTCCATGCAGGGAGCCCGATGTGGGACTTAATCCTAGGACTCCAGGATCATGCCCTGAGCAGAAAGCAGACGCTTAACTGCGGAGCCACCCAAGCATCCATAGCTCTTCCCATTCTAACGAGCTGTGTTGGCTAATACACACACAGACCACATGGCCCCATCATTTTTAATGGCGATTAGATAGCTTTCTTTCTGTTGACTTTCAGTGGTCACATCACTCATCTTGCTATTTGGATGCTATCAGGTATGACTGGGGACTCATTTCAATGGCGTGTTTCTCTTGCACCCAGGAAATCACAAGATTAATGAATTGTTGATACCAATGTTGGTACTGGGAAGTGATGTGGTGCTGCAACAAACATGCAAAAATATGGAAGTGGCTTTGGAACTGAATAATGGGTAGAGGCTGGAAGAATTTTGAGGTACTTGATAGAAAAAATTTAGAATGCCGTGAAGAGATTGTTGGTAGAAATATTGCCGTTAAAGGCAATTCTGTTGAGGGCTCAGAAAGAAGAGAGAAGTGCTATAGAGAAGGTGTCTATGGTCTTAGAGAAGACATATATCACCAGAAATAGAATGTTGCTAGAAATATGAATGCTGAAGGTGCTTTTGGTGATGTCCTAGAGGGGAAGGAAAAACATGTTATTCAACCCCGGAAGAAAGGTGCTTTTTGTTATAAAATCACAGAGAACATGGTTGAATTATGTTCTATTGTTGGAAGGAGACTAGAACTTGTAAGCAATGAATCTGGACATTTTGAGGGGAGAATTCCAAGCAGTGTTAGAAGATGCAGCCTGGCTTCTCCTTGCTGCTTATAAAAAATGTGAGAGAAAAGAAAGAAATCAAAGAAGGAATGCCAAAGCAAAAAGGAGCCAGCACCCAATGACTGGGAAGATTCTCAGCCCATCTAGACAGCATACTTCATCCACAGTGCCAACAGTGTGGCTGGACAATCATTTGCTCAAGAACTCAGGTGTGTGGCTGATGGATCCAATCAACCATCTTAGTGGAAGCCAGAAATGGAGATGGGGTTATCTTGGAAAGCTATGTGGAAGACCCACTTGTCTGATGATTTGGACCTCTGTGAATTGCATGGGAATCTGACAGGTCTTTGAGAATTTTATTTCAGCATAATCACTACCACCCTGGACTAACGGGGTAGAGGCAGCATGAAAAGAAAAAAAAAAAAAAGATGATTCTGAGGGCAGAGGCACAGATGCAGAAGTTTGGGCTGATGAGGCCCCCTCAGGCCAACAGGGTGAGGCTGCCATCCTGCAGTACCAGAGGACAGAGCATCGAGCCACAGGGGATTATTCTCAGGTCTTGACATCTAATGGAACTTGCCCTGCTAGTTTTTAAGACTTCTTTGGGACTCATTACTCCCCCCCCCACACTTTTTTTAAAAGATTTTATTTATTTATAGAGACACACAGAGAGAGAGGCAGAGACACAGGTAGAAGGAGAAGCAGGCTACATGCAGGGAGCCCAATGTGGGACTCGATCCCAGGTCTCCAGGATCACGCCCTGGACCGAAGGTGGCACTAAACTACTGAGCCACCCAGACTGCCCCTCATTACTCCCTTTTTGACTTCCAATGTCTCCTATTTGGAATGAGACTTTTCTACCCTATGCTGTGATATTGTATTTTGTAAACAGATACCTTCTTTTCTGGTTCCACGGATGGAGGTGAATTTTACCAAAGGATGAATCATACCCTAGGTCTCACCCATTAGTGATTTATACAGTTCAGAAGATGAAATTTCTGGACTGTGAACTGATGATATTTCGATGAGAGTCTGGATTTAGAGTGGACACTGGGATGGTTAAGACATTTCAGAATGTTGGGAATGGGGTGAATATAATTTTGCATGTGGGAAGGATGTGAATTTTGGGAGGCCAGAAGGTGGACTCTTATGGGTTGAATTGTGTCCCTGCCCAAAAATATATTGAAGTCCTAACCCCTTATACCTCAAAATGGAATTTACTTGGAAACAAGGTTGTTGCAGATGTAATTAGCTAAGATGAGGTCATTCTAAAGTAGAGTGGGCCTTTATTTTATTATTTTATTTTATTTTCTAAATATTTATTTATTTATTTATGATAGACATAGAGAGAGAGGCAGAGACACAGGAGGAG